ACTCTTCCCCTTCTTATAAAGGTACTAATCCCATCTTGAGGGGGAGGGGAGGTCCCGCCCTCAAGGTCTCATCCAAGCCTAATCACCTCCTTAAAGGCCCCACCCCTTAATACTATCATATGGGGGGTTAGGGCTTCAACACAGCGATTCTGGGGGGACACAAACCCAGTCCATAGCAAGTGGTAAGGTTTACAGATGAGAACGCTGAGGCACAGAAAATTGGGGTGCTTCTTCTGCACTTTACAGGTACAGAATCAGGATTTGAATCTGAGGGTCTGGCTTACCGATTATACTCTATTGCCCCTCAAAAGATTAGTATTCGGGGGGCACCTGGGTGGCTCATCTGGGTTAAGCATCTGCCCTCGGCTCGGGTCATGATCCCAGGGTCCTGGGGTCGAGCCCCGCATCAGGCTCCCTGCTCAGCGGGAAGTCTGCTTCTCCCTCTGCCCCTCCCCCCACTCATGCTCTCTCGCTCTCTCGCTTGCTCTCTCTCTCAAATAAATAAATAAAATCTTAAAAAGAAAAGATTAGTATTCGGAATATATAAAGAGCTCCGATAAACAAACCACAGCTGACTATAGAAAATGGGCAGAAGACATGAATAAGCAATCACAGAATCAGTGTCCAATAAGCATATGAAAAACCTGCTCCTAATTAAGACCACCTGAAATACCACCACGTCCACTACATTAGGAAGAAAATTAAGAAACCTGAAAATAGCCAGGGTTGGCAGGGATGGGGAGCAACAGACACAGACGCAGAGTTGTAACTTGGTCCACTTTGGAAGGCAAACTGGCAATTCCTGGTAAATACCTACCCCGTGACACAGCGATCCCACTCCCAGTTACGTATCTACTAAGGACATGCACGGGGGCGCTGGCTGACTTAGTCAGTTAAGCTTCTGACTCATGATTTTCAATCGGGTCCTGATCTCATGGGTCATGAGATCGAACCCTGCGTCGGGCTTGGTGCTCGGCAGCGAGTCTGCTTGGGATTCTCTCTCTCCCTCCCTCTTTGTCCCTCCCGTCACTTGCTCTCTCTCTCTCTCTCTC